CTTCTTTAATAGAGAAAGAAAAAGAAACAAAGAGAGAAGAGGCTAGAAGGATGGCTCCTATTTTCTATAGGAGGATAGAAAGGTGGCTGAAAGAACAGAGTAATGGACTAGTTCAGAAACCACATTGTTTGCAGCAGGTAGGAGGAAGGAAAGATGAATAAGAGAGATACATAGGGGGTTTTTTTCCATTTGAGTTTTCAGGCATCGGCCCAAGTTTTTAGTTACTGTGATTTATTCCAGTCCCAGGCAAATAAATGGGCAGATGAAAAAACTTCAAATAGAGAAATGACTCTTTAACACATTTGGGAAAACATTAACAAGTTTAAGGGAAAATATGATCTTACGTTCGCAGTATTGACCTTCTTTATCCCAGTTAACTGTGTTGTCATCATACAAAACACAAAGAGCAGTATCTGGGCCTATTAACCTGTACCTAAAGAAAGAGAAAGTACAAGATTTAGGGCATGAGACATAATAAAGTGGTTGCTAATACAGGATATCTGGTCACTAGTAGGCTTACATTACTGACATCATGTACACCTCACCCTACAGCGTGATTACTCTGATAAAAAAGAGAGAGGGACTTTGCCTCACGTCCAAGAGACACAGGACTGGGTACCAGGAGAAGGACATGACTGAAAAGGCATGTTCTCCATTTGTCACTAACTTAGGTTGATACAAACTTCCAACTTCTTTAGTTCTGGATACATAGTTGACATGAATGAAAATGCAACACCAAACACCCTATTAATAAGGCCTGTGTCACACATAGAAAGTCCTTAATGTAAAGGAGACTAATCTTCCAAATTTTATTGCACTGAAAATCTGCAGTTCAAGACAAAACGCTTGATATCACCTTGTTTTGGTAGTTTTAAAAGAACATACAGTGAAAGCTGATGGTGTTTATGTGAACCCATGGGGTGCTTTAGGAGAGAGCTATGAACCTTTTCCTTCCTGACAAATGAGATATTTTCTTGGGCGATATATAGTGGCTACTGCTTGCCATGAGTGGGAGGGGTCAGGTATGTCCTGGTCAGATTCTGAGCCACTTTGCTTGCTCTTTTTATTTTCACCAGGCACCCCATATATATCCATGCATCCATTTTATTACCTTTTCAGCTCTTCACCACCACCCCATGTTTCATTTAGGTTTCAACTTTTTTAAAATTAAATAACAAAGGCCAGTTGCAGCATGGGAGAAAAGTGAGATAGGCCATGGGCCCGATCCAAAGGTATTAAATGCTAGAAGTTCCATTATCTAAATTTCCACAGTCCGTGAAATAATAGTCTTTGCACAAAGTAATATAGGACACTGATTCCAACCTGGGGGCCAGCATTCGCAAGGGGGTCACAAAGTGTTCACTCTCTCTCTCTCTCTCTCTCTCTGCGCCACGGTTATTTTTAGTAGTACAGTAATTATTTTAAACGGATTCCCAAAGATGTCCACTTAAAATGATGGCCTATTGAATTCAGTGCTGTTTCAGTCAGGGGACGAAGGCATCAGCGTGGAAGGTGGAACCTTCCACCATGCTCCAGGGCCAGTGTCCACCAAAGGAATTTTGCCTTGATTCCCTCCGGGTGCTGCTGTTGGAGCAAGCTGCTCCCCATTCCCCAGAACCCCTGATTCCCACTTGCTTCTGGCTTCTTAACACCTGCCTAAGCCTGGGACTGTTTAAAATCTGGAGTGCAAAGAGAAGTGATTTGTGTGTGAGAGTACATGCATGCCTTTCTTTCTTACCCCTTGTCAGCAAAGGAAGGAAAACTGTGAATCTTGAATTGTGCTACGATGTGTAGTCAAAACTGGCACACAGAAAACACACACACCTACCCCTCTTCTCTTTTCCACTCTGCAGCAGAATTGCAAAAAGTCCTTTGCTCAGAAACAAGCCCTGCAGGAGCTGGGGGGGAGAATTAGTGCTGGCCAAGTAAGCATGGCCTCATAGTCTGGCCAATTTGTCGCCTGATCTTCTGCAGGAAGACAAGGACGTGGGGCGGGGGGGGGAGTTGTGTGCAGCAATTTGGCAAGGGAATGCAGGTTATTTCACTTTTATAAAAGGAGGTTACAACTTCAAAAAGGTTGGGAAACATTGATATAGGAAGTGTATGATCACTCAGTTTTTTAAACGAAAGCAAGCAACTGCCTAGAAAAGCAGAAAATGAATAACAAGTGGTTCTGCATCCAATGATTCCTCAGTTTGAAAGCTGCAACTGTCAAGGTTTGGCCTGTCACACATGCCCAAAGAACACAGGTTAGCAAGACAGGAAGGCAGCTTTTCTTCCCTCCGTCTGCTTTGCAAGGCACAGGAGAAAGAAGCAGAGTGAATTTCATCTGCCTCTTCACTGTCTCTCTAGGCTGATTAACCAAGTCCAAAGTCGGTAATCTCTGTGCTCAGAAAGAGAACAAAGGGGAGCATACATACACTGTGTATTCCTCCAGAAATTGTCAGGGAAGAATATATGCCAGGAAAAATCTTGTTAGGGCAACAGTAAACCCAAGTGACTAATTAATGCATTTTTAAAATATCATTGAAGGTAGGATAAAAAATAATAAATAAATTGAACAGTGGAGACTTTCACTGTTAACAATTAATTTTTCAGGTATTTATATGTTCCACAAATTTTATACCAAGCTAGATAGTTACAACAGATGACTGGAAACTCACCCCCCATCACAGATGAATTTTGCTTCATCACCAAGCCGGAAGTCACCTGAGGATTCTACTTTGCCATTTTCAAGAGCTGGAATCTTGCACTGCTTTCCTGAAGGAAGAATTAGATGTAGTTTTACCGTATGTTGTCATGGTTTTTAAAACAGAGTCAAGATTCTTGCAGACTTCTTGAAAGTAACATGTTTCAGAAGCTAGGGCAATATACAGATTCCCAAACATTTTATGATCACAATGCTTTCCCCCACAGCTCCATGAGATAAGTTAGGCCAAGAGATCCAGGCTGCAGCCCTTTTTCTTCTTTTTTAAATACAATCCTGTTGGCATTTGCCTCCTAAATTTGCATTTAGGAGGAATGATCCTCACGGAGTTCTATGGTGGGTGGTCTGTGTGTACCGAATTATTTCTACACTTTCTGAAGAATCTCAGTGCATTTCAGCCCAGAGGCAAGACACAGAGAGATATTTTGAAAATCATTTAATGTGGCTGCTCTGCAGTTTTGCCTATTCAAGAATGGAAGTTTCCTGTTTTACAGCATGTTAGCACCTCCTTGGGACTATTTTGCACAAAGTATAGAATGGAAAGAAAACTGCTGAGAGCTCTAGATCTTTGCTCAGTTTTTCATGCGAGCCGCTCTTAATGGTAAAAACAGATCTGGGAGAAAGACACTCACTTTCACAAAAGGTAGGAGTTCCTGACCATGTTGAATCATCAAGACATTGAATAGTAGGCTTTGATCCAGTGATATATATATAGCCTGGGATACAGCGGAATCGCAGAGTAGTCCTAACAGAGTAGCTTTCATTCAATGCATGGTCACCCAGTGTAGCAAAGGGGGGGATCTGCGGAGCAGGGCAGTCACCTGGAGATAAAGATAGACAAGGATGTTTAAAATGCGGGAAGAAGGAAAGGATGTCGTACAACTAAGCTCTAAGTCAAGCCTCATGCTGTTTTCTTTAACAGAATCTACAAAACCATGCCTTGTCTTTGCTTTTTGGACTATACCAGGCCCAAATCCCAAAACATTTTAATTTCTCCTGCACTGTGCAGACTACATCCTGCTTGTGGCCCAGTTTCAGGTTGC